GTTTCCTCCATGGAAAACATCTATCATGATGGAGAACCCATAGAGCTTCTCCTCGCTCCGCAATGCGAGCGTCGGTGGGAAACTTGACGTCGGTGGAAGTGATGGCGATGGCATCTTCCAAGGTGACGGAGGCTCCCTTCTCAACGTACTCTGCTCGAGCAGCTAAGTCCTGGACTGCCTTAGCTTCCGAATGGCCTTGGCACACTACCGAGAAGGGGGAGAGGCCTTCGCCCAAGGTGGTCCCTTGACCGTTCACGAAGTACTTGCGGAAGACACGATCCAGAATGTGTCCAGTGACCAATGGTTTGTTCGCAAGGTTAATGGGCAGCGCCGATGCCTGAGTGCGTTCGTCTAGTTGAGCTTGCAGGATCCCGTGTTCATTCCCTTTAGGGGACTTCGTGAGCAGACGGTGAATGACGGGAAGGTTTGCGTCATCGGCCACGTTACAGAGGTTGTGGACGCGAGTGGCTAGGGCAGCCCCGAATTTATCCGTGAAGGTTTTGTTGCTCTTCTCACGGTCATACTGGAGTTGTTGTTCAACAGTGGCCTCCAGCGTATCACGTAGGTTTGTGAGGGGAGAGCACCCGGTTGGTGCTTGGTTGGAGCGCGTTTGCGCTAATGGGCGCGGCCACGTTGGCTGCGTCATTACTGGTGGACGTATGACCTCCCGCGGCCAACGTACAACAGGCGCGGAACCATTGGACCAAGGGGCGATGGCAGCCTGTCGCGCAGGATCTGCGTGGGTTATCTCAGGGGTGAGAACTTCCACACAGAACTGGGGAAGACTGTACTGTCCCTCGGGACGGGCCGCAAGGACGGCTTCAGAAAGATAGGACGGAAGTGGCATCACGCGACGGACGCGGAAGACATCGGTGTCGGGGACCACACCACCGCCGTGGGGGCCACTGTGTAGCACAGGAGCGGGAACGGCAGCGAACATGGTTCCTCCGTCAATAATTGTCATGTTGTGGCAGGCTATGTCAGCCATGCGCTCGAAGGCAGACATGGGGAGGACCACCGTGATTGCGCGTCGAAGATCGTTCCCCACCACGATAGCGTAGAGATTGTCGTAAGGAGAGGCTTGGCTCGGATTCACGGGGTAAGCGTAGAGTGAGTGTCCAATGTAGATATTCGTTTCATCATTTTGGAGGACGAAGCTAAAGGTGACAGGTGAACGAAGGCAAAATTGGCTCATGGCGCGAGAGGCAACATCACGATTTGCATTCGAGGCGCCACTAACAGCAGTGAGGATATCAGCGTAGTTTGGAGCATGTACCTCCCATGCCGCTGCACGAGAGACGAGATCCGAAAAATTAGAGCTGGCCATGGTGAGGGTCGAAAAGATACGAAACCTGATGCCGGCGCAAGAGATTAATCTAATCTAGGTTCTTGCTTTCAGCGTCGGCTGAATGAAGAATTGTGAGCTGAGAGAGAGACAACCTTCTTGCGATTGGCAGTTCAATGGCTGATCTTGGCTAGGTCGCTGGCTTTAGTGATTCATGGTTGCCACTGTTGATCTTGCCAAATGTGGTCTTGGACGGGCGTCATTGCCTTAAGGGTAATCTTGTTCGAGAGGCATTGAGGAGCTGATGCGGTGCATCATCATGTGGGGTATCCATTTCCGGAACGCAGGTGATGACCTGCGAGATGTAGAGATGTACTTGAGTTGTAGGTGAGGAGCGTGGGAATTAATTTTGCAAATTGTGAGATGGTCCTCTCGGCAACCATGATTAGGGTCATGGATGCGAGAACCCATCAGGGTTCAAGTGTCCACGCTGCGGGGCGTGGAAACTCAGACGGGGGGGTTCCCCAGGCGTGCTGCTGCTCGACACGAAGAGTTTCGTAGCTTCTAGTAGTAATGCTACGACAGGATGAAGTTGAGAGGCAAACACGACTGTTTTTTACTATGGAACTTTCAGTACTCGATGGATCGCTGCCAATTTGGCTGCAAACTCTGGAACGATCTAAGCACCGGCATGACCTCTCAACGCTCACATTTTCGATATTAAGAATATTTCCACAAAATTTCAATTGATACACACGTAGTCAAAAAAATTTGATGGCATCAATTCAACGTTGTTGCTGGCCTATAGAACAACAGAGAATTAAAAAATCTCTACTAACTGGTACTAGCTAGGAAGAGCAACAAAATTAGATTGAACGAAGCAACCTTTGATTCGGTGATCTAGATACGATTGAATTCGTTCCGAAATCGTTCCGTGAAAGATATTTCGAAAAATGTGTATAGTGGCAAGCTGATGTATATCGACTATGCAAAAATCTTTAGACTAAACCGTATCTTCTAGAAACAACAATGGCAGTCCAAATTCTGACACAATTTATATGGTGTATGGTTGCAGTTGAAGGCTTCAGGTGAACAGTTACGGCCAAGATTGTTCTCACTGGCCCTTATGGGGAGATAGACAGATGCCTCCTAAGCCAATGAGCTGTGATGCAAGTATGGGGAGACCAGGTAGGATCCCAATTGACAGTCAGATGGACCAATGCCAATGCATCCTTTCTCTCCTGAACACGACTGGAGGTTGATCACAAGCCCATGTGATGCCCCTCCCAATGTGCCAAGTGGTACTCAGCAATGGACACCTTGATGTATTCAAGAGGGTTGGTAACCCTTGAGGTAAGCGACCAAAGTCCACACTGAGAAGTCAGATGCTCCCAGTTCATGGAAGTATCGAGAGAAGCCCCATGATGTGCAAGCTTGTTGGCACCCCATCCATGACTCCAATGGTGGGGAGCGATGAGATTATGCCATAGGAGCCATAGTATGGGTGCAACGCAGCTGTGCTGGCTCAGTCTGGTGGAAAGATTGCTGCTGCATCTGTACACTCTTTCAGTACAATGAGCTGTGTCACCATCAGACAAGATAGGAACAGCTGTAGAGGACATAGAGTTCCTCTGCAAGGAAGGATCATGCAGTTCCTCAGCCATGACCTATCTAGAAAGATAGCTTGGTTTATACCAGCCAAAAGAGATGCATGGATCTGTATCCTGCATGGCTGGATGGAGTTTGTCGCAAAATCAGAGTTTGTGTTTATGTTTATAGTTTAAAGAAGTAATGAAGAAGAGTTGACCTGAGAAACAGATCCAACAGCACAAGTAGAGCCACGACTGGCTAAAACAATTGATCACCACAATTATTAAGGAATTGTTTCTTAAGGGATTGTTTAAGGGATAGTCAAAGCTTTAAGGGAACGCTGCCTGTTATCCCTTGGATTCGATTTGAAGTCGATTAGATTCCTTGGTAGCCTTCTGTGGCTCGCCCTGCGACTCTCTTTGTTTGCGAATGACAGATATGCGTGAATGGTTAAGAATGAAGACACATACGCGAACAACCAATGAAAATAAATGTGTTTCTCGGCGTACGAACCACATGTTCATGGATAGGAAGTCGCCTGAAGGGCTAGCGAGAGAAATGTGGGGAATTTATTATCGGAGGTCGGTTTGCTTTCTTAACTATTCTTCAACATGGGTACCGGTCAAATCGGGAGTTCAATGTTGCATACGACATGGGTACCGGTCAAATCCGGGACCGTGTTGGTTCGGGATTTTTGCATTAGATTAAGACTCTATGACTGCTGACATTGCTGATATGGTCAAACCAAGGCGTTCACATAGGTGACTTCTTGTGTTTTCAGTTCTTGGTGTGGATTAGATCGCTGGTTGACTGGTTGACAAGCTAATTAGCATGCACCCTTCCATTGATAGGGGTTGGTTTCTAGTTCCACGATGTCATCATCAAATTCATTGGCAGTGTAATTTGGAAACCAGTTTTTAAGGTTGACTTCCTCATCTTCATAGATCAGGCAACATAGCTGCATTAGACCTCGTCTATGGTTGTAGGAGACAAAGGCTTCGGTCACAAATTCACGCCGCATGAACTCCATCATTGTCGTGTAATCCGAGAGATTAGCAGACAGACTGGTTACTATCTACATTTTTATTAAAAATATTGTTAAAAAATTAATAACAATAACAAATGAAACTTTTCCACTTGCCGACGGAGTTCCCATGGACTTGGAGCAGATGCAGAACTATTTACAAGACTATTTCGGAACTCCTGTTGTTTTGAGGAAGCTGGGTACTACGAAGATTAAATGCCCTCTATGAATTACAGAGCAAGAGCTCTAGATTCGTAGCAGCAGCGCTAAGGCAGCTTGCTGGCTTATTGCCTGGAAAGATGGATATCCACCCATCTTCGTCTATAGTTGAGAATAATGAAATAGTAAATACCTGAGACCCGATAGCATATCAGTAGTCTCGCAGTTGACCAGTTCCTGTGTGGCCCATGCTAGGGTAAATAGTAGCGATTCAACCATTCCAACAGTAGTGGTTGAATAGCATTGGCAGCCAGCTCTGAGGAGCTGGTCTTGACAGCCCAGTGAAGGGAGAATCTCACCAACCAGAGATCTCCCAACCTGGCGCTGGCCAAGTCCTTGACTGAGAGCCATCCTCCTGCTGAGGAAGGCCAGTTGAGGCTCTCTTCCTGCCTAACTACCAGCTGAGATCTGAGGAAGAGATCTAGAGAGGATATTCCCCGAGGAAAGACCTCCCGAAATCTCATCGGATTAACTAAGTCGCAATTGCTGCAGGCAGTTTATTGAGGGAAGAAGAGACATCCTAGGTGATACAAAGGATCTCTTCGACAGATCCATTACAATCAGCACTACAGAGTCTATGGCTCTTGCGAGCTGCTTCCGGCCTATGTACAAAAGCTACGTCTCCGGTACAAAATCGCTAGAAGCTCGCCAAATGACATCATCTTTATTTAAAGGACACCTATATTATTATTATTATTCTTTCTTCTTTTCGTGCCTCCGTAACAGCAGATCAACAGCAGATCGATCGATCGATCGAAGAGCACAACACCATAACGTCTTCCTCTTTCCTCTTCCTTTCGCTCATGTAACGATGCAGTAGCAGCCAACACTCTGTGGTTAACGTCTACTCTTCAGTGGCTGCTATTGGATGGCATCATTCGTTTACTCATCGTCTTCCAAAAGAGCATCCAAGTTTCCGTTCGCGGCGGCGGCAGGAGCATCGGCAGGAGCATCGGCAGGAGCATCGGCAGGAGCGAACATACCAACGACTTGTGTCAATCCTTGGCCAGTGATGTCTTCAAAGGCTTTGAAGGTAGAGTCGGTTGACTTGATGGACTCTCGAGGAGCTTGCTGCTTCTTCTTGGCTTCCATGATCTTTCTGTTGAAGCAAATTCCACCAAAAAAGAGAGTGATGTTGACCTTGCGACCGTCTTCAGTGGTGGCTTCAATGGCGTCCATGGTGTGCTTGACAGAGGTGACAATGGCATGGCCGCTGATGAAGGTCATGACCTCATCCAACTCGCTCTGGGAAAATGGGTCGTGATGGATGAAGATGTGGTTGGAAAGGGCATCATCATTGTCATTGAAAAGAGCTTCATTGATGCGACAGGTGAGCCTCTTCATTTCACTGTAACCAACCTTGTCGTCGGATGGGGAACGGTATGCCTCGTTGCTGACCATGATGAATGATTTGGTTTGGTTGATTTGTGAGCGAGAGATCAACTCAAGCAACACGACCGATCAATCAGTTTGAATTTGAATTTTGCCGCTGCTTTCGTGTGAAGGCGCCACACTGCAACCTCCAGCGACAGCCCACAATTCAGTGACAGCAACAGCCACACAGTCCACCGACAGCTCACAATCCACCGACAGCCCGTGCACTAGCTGACAGCTACAAGCCACCGACAGCCAACACATCACGTCGGCAGCAACAGCCACCAACAGCACGTGCACGAGCCTACGACAGCCCTATCCAACGACGATAGCCTACACAAGCCACCGACTCTATCAGCAGCCTCTCTGCTCCACCAAACAACAAGTGCAACATGACTCAGCTTTGGGATCCGGTCATGGCTGATGCTGGGGATGGATCTGGTATTACCATGGTCTTCCAGTGCAATGTATACTATTGGATGGCTGATGGCTCCGGCAAAGCTGTAGCTGGTCAGGGCACCTTCCAGAAGTTGCGGGGCTCGTCTTGTCAGTTTCGGCTTCAAGTGGATGGAGGTTGTGACTCCACCGTCTCTCACTTGTATTTGCCACCTCTAGCCGACTGGAATATCAACAAAACAAGAGCCGTTCAGACGATGAATGGTGCTCATGGACCACAGAGAGCCTTGGTTGACGTTGTGACATTTGCAGGAAGCTTTGCCATTACGAAACTCCAAGTTACGATGCCGTTCCACCGTGAGAACAGGCGCGTTGCAAAGCTGTTCCGTCCTGCTCTTATCCATGCTGACCAATCGAAGCGTGAAGCGATGGCCTAGTCGAAAAGCAAGCCGACACCAATGGAGTTCCTCTCGTCAAGACCTGCCGTATCTCTCCGCAGTTCAATGGCATTACGATTGGCTCAACGAGTCTATTATATCAAACCGAAGCAGCTACTAGTATAAAATATAAGCTACCTATTTCTTGTTGTCTTTTCTCATAAACTCCGCAATGCTCTCGCTGCTACTGAAAGATATTTTGTCAGCATCGCGGTTGAAGATTGCAATGCCTCGGTGTCGCTTGTACATCTTTTTAGCGGCCAAGATCGTTGCGAATTTTAGCTCGGTTTTCTTCGACCGCACAGTTTCCACCGAAACTTCTCCAGTCAAAGCTTGGTTGCCACCGTTGTCATCGTCTTCCATTTTGGCCGCTTCGATTGCATGAAGCAGGAGATAAGCAATGACGAACTGTCTTGCTTTGCGAGCACAACCACGGACCACTCGCTTCGTCAAAGTAGCTTGGTTGTCGAAGCAAACGTTTAGCACCTTGTCAACGAACTTGTCCTTTCCTTTTCGATCGGCCAGTGGAATGCGCAGCTTATTCTTCGCCACCGACCAATCATACTCTATGCCAACACCAGTAATTTCAGGATGACACTTCGGTGAGAACAACACTCTCCAGTCGTATTGGTTCGCAACCCATTCTAGCATCGAGACCTCTTTCCGAAAGTCGTCACACTGCTCGAGCAGCAGTCGAAGACTCGTCCCTTCGATTATGTTGCCCGGATTCCTGGGATCCTTTTGGCCGTCCATCGTGTAGTAGCTTTTTTTCTTTTTCGTCACGTTCCTCAAATCAATCAAACCACGCTCAATGCACAATTGCAGTGCTCCTTTTGGAGTGTTTACCCATCCTTTCTGCTTCTTGACTTCTTCCACAACCATTGGTAGTAGCTTGTTCTTCTTTGCCACATCTCGTAACGATGCCAAGGATAGGTGGGAGCAATCTGCGGGCAATCGAAAAGCTTCACCAAGCTTGTCACGCAGATATGCATGAATCTCTTTCTTTGATCGCAAAGAATCTCTTTCTTTGATCGCAAAGTCCGCTTCACTACCTCTCCATCAAACGTTTTGTCTTATTTTGTGTCAGCTTGCTCCTCTGGTGTCATCCAAGCCGGTCCTTGGTCTAACTCACGGAAGACACACGACTGTACCGTACCCTCTGCCAGTCTCAGTCCGTTGTTGTTGTAGTTTCCGCGACACCCCGCTGATAACGTGGTGTCATGCATCAACGGTTGCCGGCCTCCGGGATACAAGTTGAGCCTGGTGGCATCCAAACCATCCTTTCGCTTGGCACAGTGGCCTTGGCTATGATCATAGCAGATGATGTGCTTGTGGTTTGGAAACATCACATTGACAATGTCGGCAACATTCTCAAACTGGACGAGGGTATGATTGTTGGTCCAGTATCGGTCATTATTCTGGCCTGGCTGGATGTGCCAACGGAAAGCACGGAACTGTATGTCATCCTCAGTCAAAGGAGGCTTGTTTGCACTGCCCAGTACAGCAACAGCAGCTTCCGTAGCAACATACGTCTTGCCTTCTCTGTTTCTGTTAATACGCAGTAGCTGCTCACATGTTGGCTTTGGCAACCAACTGGCCTCTCTGCTTACGATGCCAGATATCATGATCGAAGCACCCAAATCTTTGGGGCGAAGCGCTTGCTGGCCGTGAGTCCCATACCATGCCATGGAATTCATCGCCTTTTCATTGGAAACAACCTCATCTTGGCCCCAAATCATGTATCGATCATCACCAGGAGACGGCCTGAGGCTGTGGTTGCCACCAAATTTGCTACCGTCGTCACTTTCCGCAACTTCCGGTAGGGTGTCGGAATCCAAAACATCATCCACATGAAATTCCAGGAGCGAGATTCCTTCAGTACTCGTAACAGCAATGCCTTCATTGTCGGGGTTGACTCTGTTCGCCTCCTTCAATTCCACGACTCTTTCGGCCGTCAACTGCACCCAAACAGCACAATGGACTTCCAGTTTCATTAGCTCGAGGCAATAGTTGATGTGTGACTCTACAATGTCCGGTCTTTCGTGCACATCAACGTAGAAGCCTTTCTTGTACACGCTGCGCTTGAAGCCAAGGAAGCGAAGCCAACGATGGATGGTGTTGAAGCAAACGTTTTTAAGCCCGTTTGCTTTTAGAAATGCCTCTTTCGTAACCTTTTGCTCCGCAGCCAGCTGTGGAATAAGAGTATCACGAACAAAGTCTCCCATGAAGTCAAGTGAGAGCTTTTGGATGTTGTTGTTCCCATACTCTTGCATGGCAGTAGCAGCTGATGGGTGGTTCACAAACAGCGAGATGCCAAACCTTTCTTTCATCAATGGATTTGGGAACTGTCGATGTACTCGAAAGTGCCGCAGCCACTCATCGATCATCCTTGGACTCGTAATGGAACGGTCACCCATTATTGCCTGAATTTCTGCCATTGCTTGTTTGGATTTCTCTAGAAATTCGGGGCGCTTATTTTCTGCATCAGTTTCAAGCATAAGAGTAATGGCACGGAACAGATATGATGCTCTCGTCTTGATCGAGCTAGCCAGCTTTTCAACACTGGCGGCATCAAAGCTCACTTCGAGTGGTTCTTCATCGTAGTTGTCAACAAAGTATGTCTTGGAATCTAACTTGCCAAGACCGACAATCACCTCTTTTGCATGTCCAGTGCTCTGGGCGGCATCCCTCAGCAGTGCAAGGAGCGTTTCAGCGGCCTCTCTTGCTGTTTCCCCTTCCCTGGCACCAAAAAGAGTACCAATAATTGATCATTGCGTAATTTTTGAGAGACATGTAAGGCTTCAGTGAAAGCTGAGTGGTGCTCAATTCATGCATCCATTCCGAGGCGTTCCTGACAGCAGCTTCTGGCAACAATGGAACGGATCCTGAGAAATCTGCGTAAATTGCTGCTTCTTTTCTCATTTGATGAATGTAAATTTGTTTAGATCTATCTTCCAGTGAAGCCACATCACCAACAACATCCATGAATGATGGATGCAACAATCCTTTGAGAGTTGTGTTCACAGAAAATTGAAGACGATACGTATCTTCGACAAGGGGAGTCGAACGGTCAAAGTTCGGAAGGCGCTGGCAACCATTCACGCTTGTTGAGAGTGGCCACCATTGTGCTTGAACTGACTCATCTTTCTTGAACAGAGCCAGAACTGATTCCGCCATCTGTTGACTGTGCTTTGGCAAAGCATTGCTTTCCGCCGCAGTTGCATCGAAGACTCGACAAAGACTTCTTCTGCCTTGGACGCATCCGAAAGGAAGCCTACCGGTATTATTGATCCTCTTGTGGATGATAGGGGTTACCGGAGTCTGGCTTGGTGAGGCTGGTGTTCTCTCGGATTGTTTCCTCTTTGCTTTCTTGATTGACAAAATGGTTGGCAAACTGTAACTCCTCTGTGGTGGCCTCACACGCACGGCGCTTGGGGAGGAGATATCTTCTCTGTTGTTTTCCTTGTCCATTGTCGACCACTGTGACGACCATCCATCCCAGATTCAGGGCGAGAGAGTAGAAGGAAAACACCCTGGGCTTGGTCATGTTGGCCTTGGAGCAGCTAGCTGCGCTTCAAATGGCTGTGGGGCACATTGGGAATGGCAAAGTTCTCTTGTTCAATCCTTCCCTCAGTAAGGAAAGGCTCTTAGTCAGTCTGCCTGAGATCTACTCAGGACGGTCTTGAAGGCCGGCCAACTTGGCCCAGCTGCACCTTCCCAAAGGGACATGCACATACAAACTTCCCAGAACACTGCGGCATCTCAGGAACGACCAGCCATTGTTCGACCACATTGTCAAACTGAATCCAGATTGGGACGAGGACGCCCCTGCACTGGTTGATTGGACAGCCCATGGTCGTGCTGTCAACCGTCATGAAATCCACAAACCGACAATTGTGAAGTTCCTATTTCAATTGTTGCCAGTTGGGAAACGGATCCACCGAGACGACCCCAAGTATGATCACCACTGTCCCCGTTGCGGCGGTGATCATGAGACTGAGACCCATGTGTACAGATGCCCGCATGTTGACATGGATTTGTGGTGAGGGACCATGCAACGAGCGATCAGCACAAAGTTGCGCAAGGATTCCACAGACCCCTTCCTCTTGGAAATTGTTCTGGATGGGCTACAATATCACTTTGAAGACCGGTTTCTACACCCGTGGCATTACCCAGACCGGTATAGGGACCTTGTTGACACTCAAAATCTCATTGGTTGGGAAATTCCTGGAGGACGATTGTCCAAGCACTGGGCTAAGCACCAAGATGCATATCTGCATCGGGTCGGCTCCAGGAGACCACCAAGACCGGGCAGCTCTGGGTCACCAACCTGGCTTCTGTTCTGATCCACAGTGGTGGAATCTCTGGGAGGACCGCAATGCCGCAGGCAGGCCGGATCAGGAACAGAAATGGCGCAAGAAGCACGAACAGCTCCAACGAGATGTTGAGCTCCTGTATGAAAAAGCGGACCTGCTCCCAGAGCATCTTCTTGATACCATCTTCAAACGACCCTGGAGGAACAGATGGCCAAGGGCCGGGAGATATCAAAGCATGGCTGGCCAATTGCTTCCGTTGTTGACAAAGCAATGAGGGATGAGCATGCAAGTAAGCAGCCTTCCCAATCAGGTAACTATGCGCCGATGTGGGATTCCCATAGCAATAGCGGGCAATTTAGCCTAGAGTAGATAGTTAGTCGTACAGCACCCTCCGGAGTTTTGTTCAATTTCTCCGGTGGGGGGCTTACACTAGGCCCATCCTAAGTGGGTGCCCTCGTGCGCCTGAGGAAAATGGGTTCGTCACGGCACCGTTCAGCGGATCGTCTGACGAGGTGTAGCCTTTAAAATAAAATTTCTTTTTTTTCTTCTCGATGTGGGGCACATTCATTTGGAATTTCGCCATCTTTCCTCCTTCAATCCAACTTCAATGAGCTTCACAACGATCTCTCTCATGGATTAGTTTTCGTAGCTATCTAATCTCTCTCATAACTTTCATTCTCTCAAACTCAAAACACTCAAAAGATCTTTACACTAGCTTTTAGCGTAGTGCATTTTGTTAACAAACACAATAGCTTTCAGCTACCCTCAACCTATTCCTTCACCATGAAGATTGCTCAAGGAAAGCATGCGTTCAGCAACTTCGAGAAACAGTTGCGTGACAAACCCATTCTTCCTCTCGTCGACAATGACGAAGACAACGAGGTCGACGACACTCGTGCAACCACCTACAAACTTCACACCATTCCTGCAGATGCAAATAGTGCCAAGTACACTTTCAAGGTAGCCATCATCAATGGCTCCAACACTCCATGTGAGACCATCAAGTGGGCCACGAACATGGAGAAGGTCTTCATTGTTCTCAACCTTGCTGGTCCCGATGACAAACATCGTCTTCTCAAGGAGATGACTTCCAGCTCTGCAAAGAGTGCCTACGAAGCCGGGTGTGCAGGCAGTTGTGCCGTGCGTCATAACGCCCTTCGACAAATTGCTGTGAATGCAGTTGCTCCACGCGACGTAACGTCTGGAGAAACCGAGGCTGCATTCCAGGCTCGTGTCCAGGCTGCATGGGACGGTGCAGCAGAACCCGCTTTAAGCGATGCGGACATCACCTTTGGAATCAACGCGGTGATCGAACAAGCCTGTCCTTACAAGGCTCTCGAAAAACAGAAACGCTTCATGCGTCGTAAGATGCGCAAGCCAAGCGAGATGACAACTCGCGCCTACATCAACAACCTCACTCGGATGAACACCGATGAACTTCCACATTTGCCACCTTTCGGTGCCAATCAACAGTTGAACCAGGACGAATTCATTGACATCATCTGTCATGGCATTCCTCATTCCTGGATGCGCAAAATGGACGAACACGACTTCGATCCTTTCACTGCCGAGATGACGGCTCTCATTGGATTCTGTGAGCGCATGGAATCTGCTGAAGACTTTGACAAGGGCAGCGAAGCCAAGCAGGCTACTTCAAAGAAGAACAGTAGCAAGAAGTACAAGTCTAGCCGCAACAATAACCACTCCTCCAAGAACAAAGGAAAGTGGTGTGACTACCACGAGTCCAGCACTCACGATACTGCTGACTGCATGACTCTGAAGAAACTCAAGTCCAAGTCCTCGTCTGGTAATGATAGCAAGCCAGCGTACAACAAGAACAAGACTTGGAAACGTAAGTCTGACGATGCCAAGTCCTACACCAAGAAGGAACTTTCTGTCCTTATGAAGAAAGTCTCCACTGCCGCTGTCAAGGCCGATCGCAAGAAGAAAGGCGAATGCAACCATGTTGCCAAGCGCAAGTTGGATGACTCTGATAACAAGGATAACTCCTCTGTCGGGTCCCTCAACATGATGGACAAGAAGATGGCCGCAGTCGACAAGGCTCTTGCCGACTTCGATTTCAATCAATCAGATGGAGAAATCTCCGTCCGAGGATTAGGCCAGGATGATGATTCAACGGAACCATGTTCCGATTTCTCATACCTAAGTGATGAAGATATCTCACTAACTAGTAAACAAGAATTGTTTGCAACTGATGAAGTCTACGGCAAATTAGATGATTGCCTAGAAGCTGTTCAATTAGATTCTGACGATCTATTCAGCATTGTTAACGTCGTCCGTGGCCAACCACCTCGTAAACGTCGCAAGACAAGAGACCTCAAACCTATCGTCTATGTTAGATTTAACAGACGAGAAAAAGGGAAACCAAAACCCGTTACACTCCGTTGCTTGCTTACTGGATACAGGAGCATCCGGAACTTTGATTGCTCAAACTCATGCTAAGAAATTACGCATGAAGGATCTTGGGGGCGTCCAAACAATGTGGACTACCCCACTTTCTCAAGCGGGAGCCAACTCAAAGGGCTCCCGCCACTGATTCTGTCAACCAAGATGATAATAAAGATAAACAACAACAACAAAGACACTATAAGCAACACCATCATTATAAAGCTAACTATTACACTATTACAAGCAAGTTTCCCCTTGGAAGCACTCGAATCGGAGCTCTGGATCGATAGATATCGCACGAAACGTCCTCAGCCACCCATCAGCCACCAACACGTGATTGCGGCCCCGGAAGATCCAGTCATTCCCCTGTAGACCCCGGTACTGATCCTACACAAGAGTCATTATCCAAAATCGCAATCACAACCAACAACAAAATCACAAAAAGCAACAAAGACACCCAAGTCCACTCCACCCGTTCAGACGCTGTTTGCCACTCCAAGAAATAGTCCCCGATCTAACTCCTGTCCATAGGAATAGAATAGGAACTGCATCTGTCAGTCGCAACGAGCATCTTAGCAGGCATTCCAAGATGAACGACCGAATCGGAAGACAAGGAATTCATTCTGTTTGCTCAGAAGAAATCGAGCTGATAATACTTTGCTCAGCCATAGCAAATTACTTTCTGCTCAGTACACTCTCGACAACAAGAACACCGGCCTAGTCCATTCCCACGATCTTTCAGACTGCTCCGAGTCGTACCTCCGTACCTCTATCCGATCGATCGAACTGATTGATTCCGATAGAAGCACCTTTCGATTTCCCGATTGCCGAGCAAGAACTCAGTATCTACACTACTCACCACACACAGTGAATCGGTAGAAACTATCTTCCAGCTACGCAACAAGGATATTCGGTGATTCAACGTTGACAGAACAAGAATTTGGCGCCATCCCTCATTGCAGACTACCACCACGGGCAGGCAACAACATCTCATTCTTCCAACGACCAATCACGACCATTCCACAGTACCTCCTATACGATCTCCCACAAGAATCAGTACACTCAGTACAGAAATCCAAGCCATCCCTCATTGCGTACCATAGGATTTGGGCAGGCCCGCACGTCTCTACTCCGTTCGCGAATTCTCTCTGGCAAATCCACTCGAACCAACCTATCTCCTCAACCAGACGGAGTTAGAAGGATCCAAAGATAGCCACAACAAGCTCTCCACCAGCTCTATCCAACAGAACTACTGAGCGCTAGCTAGCACTGATTGCAAGCCCTCCAGTCAACAGGAAGCTCAACGCGCAAGTCTCCTAAATCCCCGGTCACATAAATCTTTGTGCCAACCCTAACTTTTCTACCCCTCCACCAATACCCAGCCCCTTAAGTCTCCCATCCTTGAAATTAAGAAATTCCTTGGATTTAAGACACTCACCCACACCACCACCGCTCCAAGGCACTCCCCAGGACCCACCTTCAGCACCACTACTCCCAGGCACTCCCCAGGACCTCCCCAACACCACCACTACTTCAAGGCACCCCCAAGATCCTACCCAACAGCACCACTGTCCCCAGCACAGCAACACTGCTCCAAGGCACCCCCAGGACCCACCTACAGCACACTGCTCTTAGACACTCCCCAGGACTCCCAACACCACCACTGCCACAGGCACTCCCCAGGATCCCCACCACAGCACCACTGCTCCAAGGCACTCCCCAGACTACACCCAACAGCACACTGCTCCAGGCACCCCCAGAACACCCACCACAGCACCACTGCTCAAGGCACTCCCCAGACCCCCAACACCACTGCTCAGGCACTCCCAGGACCTCCCACACCACACTGCTAGGCACTCCCCAGGACTCCCCAACACCACACTGCTCACAGGCACTCCCCAGGATCCCCACCACAGCACACTGCTCCAAGGCACTCCCCAGGCTCCACCCAACAGCAACACTGCCCCAGGCACTCCCAGGACCCCCACGCACCACTGCTCAAGGCACTCCCCAAGACCCCCAACAGCACCACTGCTACAGGCACTCCCCAGGACACCAACCACCACCTGCTCAAGGCACCCCCGCTCCACCCAACAGAACACTGCTCACAGGCACTCAGGACCCCACCACAGCAACACTGCTCCAAGGCACTCCCCAGGACCCACCATAGCACCACTGCTCCAGGCACTCCCAGGACCCCCCAACACCACCACTGCTCCAAGGCCCCCCCAGGATCCCCACCACAGCCCCACTGCTCCAAGGCATCCCCAGGACATCCCCACACCACACTGCTCACAGGCACTCCCCAGGACACCCACCAAGCACCACTGCTCAAGCACTCCCCAGGACCCCCCAACACCCACTGCTCACAGGCACCCCAGGTCCCACCCACAGCACCACTGCTCCAAGGCACCCCCAGACCACCCAACAGCACCACTGCTCCAGCACTCCAGGACCCCCAACACCACACTGCCCAGGCACCCCCAGGACCCACCCAACACCACCTGCTCAAGGACTCCCCAGGACCTCCCCAACCAACACTGCCCAGGCACTCCCCAGGACCCACCACAGCACCACTGCCCCAAGGCACTCCCCAGCACCACCCACACACCACTGCTCAAAGGCACTCCCCAGACCCCAACACAGCACCCTGCTCCAAGGCACCCCCGGCTCCACCCAACAGCAACACTGCCACAGGCACTCCCAGGACCCCACCACAGCAACACTGCTCCAAGGCACTCCCCAGGACCACCTAAGCACCACTGCTCTTAGGCACTCCCCAGGACCTCCCCACACCACCACTGCTCCAGGCACCCCCAGGATCCCACCACAGCAACACTGCTCCAAGGCATCCCCAGGCACCACCCACAGCACCACTGCCCCAGGCACCCAGACCCCCAACACCACACTGCCCAGGCACCCCCAGGACCCACCCAACACCCACCTGCTCAAGGACTCCCCAGGACCTCCCCAACCAACACTGCCCACAGGCACTCCCAGGACCCCCCACAGCACCACTGCTCAAGACACTCCCCAAGACCTCTCCAACACACCACTGCTAAAGGCACTCCCAGGATCCCAACACAGCACCCCTGCTCCAAGGCACCCCCAGGCTCCACCCAACAGCAACACTGCTCACAGGCACTCCCAGGACCCCCACCACAGCACACTGCTCCAAGGCACTCCCCAGGACCCACCTATAGCACCCACTGCTCTTAGGCACCCCCCAGGACCTCCCAACACACCACTGCTCCAGGCACCCCAGGATCCCCACCACAGCAACACTCTCCAAGGCACTCCCCAGACTCACCCAACAGCAACACTGCTCACAGGCACCCCAGGACCCACCCAGCACCACTGCTTCAAGCACTCCCCAGGACCTCCCCAACACCCCACTGCTCACAGGCACCCCCAGGGTCCCCACCACAGCACACTGCTCCAAGGCACTCCCCAGGCACACCCAACAGCACCACTGCTCACAGGACTCCCCAGGACCCCCCCAACACCACACTGCCCCAGGCACCCCCAGGACCCACCCAACACCCACCTGCTCAGGACTCCCCAGGACCTCCCCAACCAACACTGCCCACAGGCACCCCAGGATCCCCACCACAGCACCATGCTCCAGGCACTCCCAGGACCCCCAACCACACTGCTCCAGGCACTCCCCAGGATCCCCACCACAGCACACTGCTCCAAGGCACTCCCCAGGCACCACCCAACAGCACCACTGCTACAGGCACTCCCCAGGATCCCCACCAGCACCACTGCCCCGCACACACCCCAGGACCACCCCACACACCACTGCCCCCAGGCACTCCCCAGGAACACCCACAGCCACACTGCTCACAGGCACTCCCAGGACCCACCCACAGCACACTGCTCACAGCATCCCAGGACCCCACCAGCCACGTCCCAACACCACCAAGGATCCCACAGCACCACTGCTCCAGGCACTCCCAGACCTTCCAACAGCACCACTGCCTCAGGCACTCCCCAGGACCCCCCAAAAACTCCCCAGGACCTCCCCAACAGCAAACTACCCCAGGCACCACCAAGACCACCACCAGCACCACTGCTCAAAGGCACCCCCTAGGGACCCCCCACAGCATCACTGCCTCAGCACTCTCAAGGACCCCCCCGACTACACTGCCACAAGGCACTCCCCAGGAACTACCCACCAGCACCACTGCAACCAGGCACCACAAATACCAAGGACCTCTACCACAGCACCACTGCTCCAAGGAACCCCCCAGGTCCTATCCCCAAGCACCAATCCAAGCGCAACCAAGGACCACCACCACAGCACCACCTACCCAAGGCACTTCCCAGGATCTCACTTCCACCTTGTCCAACAACAAGGACTTTGAACAACCCTGCGGAAGCCCTGGCGAAATTCTCAAACCACTAGGTCCAACCACTGCCCCAATCCCACCTTGTCCACCAACAAGGACCCCAGGTCACCACAGCGGAAGCCCTAGCAAAAACTTTGAAAGCCTCCCGGACCAGACAAATGACCTCCAAACAGCAGTCGTCCCTGATGGACCACTTTGCACCACCCAAAGGCGCTGACAAGGGACCAAACCAAGGAAAACACAAGAAAGAGAAAAAGAAGGGACCCCAACCGAACAACCAAGGGACCAAACCCAAACCAGCACACCCAGAGCATCCCAACGCAACATCCCCAGAGAAAACACCAAGGCGGCGCCGAAACAAAAGAAACAAGGACTCACCCAACCCAACGAAAAAATCACCAACATCGGACCCCACACCCAAGGCAATGAAAGCAGGGGGAGAGCCTATGCAACATGGTGCCCCCCAGAACAAAGGTGATGACATCATGGCAACACCCCCAGACCTAACGAGACATGCAGGAACCCACCAGACCACTACCAAGCACAAGATTACGCCAGGAAACGAAGAAACACCTGGCACTGGACTGCCCACCAACCACTTCCTGCCACACAACCCAGAAACTGAAATCCAGTTCGAAAACATCCCCACGGAAGACCCAACCACAGCCAGAGCCAACCGCCCAGAAGCTACAGCAAGCTCCTCCAGCTCCACAAGCTGCAGTACAAACCAACCAGGCGAACCGGCAGTCAATGTCGGCCAGGACGAATCCACTGAAACAGATGACGACACACACCGGGAGACACCAAAGACTACCAAGTCAGTCAGCATCTTCGAGGCAGACGGCGAGGATGACAGGACTGCCGCCCTGCCTAAGGCCGCCCAAGAAGATGCACAACTGACGGAATACCCCCTGAAGCAAGCAGGGAGCACACCCAGACTAGACAAGACACCAGATGACCAACCAGAGACTCTGCCAGAGAAACCCACACCAGACCCTGACAAGGACAAGCCACAAAAGAAGGCAGAGACGGCCAAACAAGACAATGATGAAGCGGCCACACAAGTTACACAGGAAATGATCCGGAGGAACCTGTGCATCATAGGCGACCCTACACCGACCACCAAAACATGGTACGGCACTGGATCACGACTGAATATCAACCTTCTCCAGCCCTTCAATACTTGCGACATTGCCAGAGGAGGAAGCGATCGAAATGTCTCGGCAGTACTACGATTGATGGAAGCCTCCGAATTTGGCAAAAAAGAGATGTGCATGATGGACACAAAGGGGACACCAGTGAAGGACGGACAGGGACGGACCAAGGTCACCCCAGCACACCAATGGAGCATGAACATGTTACACGAAGTCATGACCAAGGCGTACACAGGGAAAACAGCCGATACATACCACTTCGAACACAAAATTGATAAAACACAGACAATGAAACTGGGACTCCGCCTAGCACTCACGGACCCATCAGCCTCCCCCCAATGGGACGCTGACAAGAAACGCTTTATCAACCCCAACATCACCGACAGACTCATCACCATCATGCACGAGATCATGGGCTCTGCCTACAGGCTCAAGAAGAAACCCAAAGAACCCGCCACGGGCAAGAAAACAGGTGCTGCCACGGCACTCAAACGGAAAGGCAAACCAAAGACCAACAGCGAAGACAACAAGGAGACAGACCAGAAGGAAGACCCAGAAGTCTTTGACAAACCCCCACGTGGCAAACCCCAGTACAAGACATACTTCACTGTGACGATGCCCAGCCACGCAGCCATCTCCTCTGACAGAAAGCTTGGCGGGAAGCAACGATCAGAGCTATCACAGCAGCACACTGCCTTGTTCTTAAGGCAACTGTACAGAACCGACCCCACATCTACTGTGGGGAGATATGACTCCTCAGATAACGGTGTCAAATGTGTGCCTTGGATACACGCGTCATCCGCCGCCCAGAACCTCCCAAAAGGTATTGCCAAATTCCGAGCCTACTTCAATGGGCACTACTTCCGAATGGATGGAGCAGAAGCCCAGGCAAACATCGTCCTCTACCACAACAAACCCAAATCAGAGTTACTGACAGCCTTCACCACCAACTGGGACCAGTGGGACTATGAGGATGTGTTCACCTTCGTGCTGGAGGAAAAGACTATCCAGAGTGCTGACACTACCCCGGTGTGCTGGCTACACGGATCCTTTGAACACATCAATACCACCAACTTCGCAGCGGCCTTGATGGACTCCCACCCAATGAAGTCAAAACAATTGAGAATAGAGGCACAATACAAGAGGATCCAGGATGTGGAGAACGAAAAATGGAAGGAGGACCCGGACGACCCCAACATCTTCGCCCTACACATCCATTGTGCCAGCAGTGAATACAGCCAGGTCTACGACGCACTTCAACTCCTCTACAGCCCAACCAAAAAGACCAACTTCATCGAAGCAAAGAAGTTCCGAATGGTGCCTGACCGGAGCTCACCATTCTGCACAATCTCGGTCGACAACACCGACGCGATGAGAGTCTATGAGACCCTGAAAGAAGACCAAGGCGATCTTTACAGAGAATTCGTCAAGATCCCGTGGGAGAAAGCTGTGGCAACTGACGGACCCCTGTCAGACACCTGCCATTACACACTACACGATGCCATGACAGCGATCTATGATACAGATGACACCGACGACCCAGACAGTGCCGCACCTTGCATCCTCAGTATTGACCAAGACAAGGCCAACCCCAAAAAGTGGTGGGTCACCACCACCCATGCACAAGAGGCCCGTGCAAGAACTATCCTGAAACGTGCTCCCCTTGCAGTCAGGAAACAATTCGGAGAAGCTTCTGACCGGTGGTTCACGATTGCGATACGTAGACTGGTTGACGACGAATTCAAGTTTGACAAGACAAGAAACGCCTTCACCTCCAAATCGGATCGCCACCTGCAGAAGACAATGAAGTCCAAAGCATTCAAAGAGGACTTTCAAGTGGTGGATGCAACGCCCTCCGAATTCAGATGCCCCATCCAGAGCATCTCATTCAGACTACCAGGTGTCTTCAGGACCAGGTCAGCAGCCGGTGCAGCCCACGGCACAACCTCCAACACCTCCTCCATTCCAAGAGACACAGACGACATCTCCACTGTCAACACCAGGGTGGAACTTGACATCGACGACCTGAGAGAACTGGAGGACTTTGACGATGACATTGACGGCCAGAACAGAGACGCAGAGGAACAAGAGGGAGTCATGGATGACAAAGACCAGACCAGTGACAAGACGCAAGGACTACACCCGCCAGGACTCCAGGGGACAACAACGACAATGGAGATTTGGACCATGGAACAGCAGTTGATAGACTGGACTGAACTTGCACTACACTTCAAACCAGATCCGGCGAGCGTGAACTGGCTAAGAAATTACAGAGACAAAAAGGTTGAGGGTTGGATAGCCAAGAAGGACCCAATGCCGGCCCACGTCCACACTGAGAAGATGGTGAACGTCCTTCTGAACGGACAAAAGGCTTGGGGTGGAGGTAGTAAGGGACTACAGTTCTATACCATGGCATGGAGCATGACATTCAACCAGATGATGTACCACACCACACCACCATGCATAGATCAGCAAAGACCTGGACACGATGCCTACTTAAACCTAATACGCATCCCACACTTCCCGGAGCAACACATGCACGACTCAGCACTAATGCAGCGATGGACCACGCAGAGCATGGTACTTCTCCGACGACAGAGTGTCCTCCCCAGAGGCAGTACCCGCCATGTGTGTGCTTGCCGCTTTCATGACCTCAGAGACATATTTTACTCTGAGAATGTACTGCAACTCGTCGCAGCCTTGACCTTTACAGAGTTTCAAGAATGGCAACAAGAAGTCCGCCGAGACTGGATTGAATGGTCAAAGAAAAGGCCAAGTCCTATGAGCGGGCGTATTTGAATAACAGCTAGGAACCGGACCCGTTGGTCCAGGTGCAAAGCCAGTGGGTCCACGGGGACAGTGGAGAAAAACACCAGCACACTACACCGATACTTCACCTCCCGAGGGCCACACCCCAGCAACAATCAAATACCACACCACCCATCCACCCCAACCCCACCCACCCCACCACCCCACCGACGCAGAAACAGAATCAACCACCGCGGCAACAAACTCTTGCATTCGACCCCAATACAAACAACTGAGGATCTCCACCAACCAATCACCCCCAACACCAAACACCAACCACTCCAGTCACAACACAACCAACGTCGAGAGCTTCGGAGACAAAGCAACAGCAAAAGCACCACGACACATCAGAATCCTTTTCCAGAACATTGACAACCTCCCCAAACATGAATGGCAAGACAAGAGCAAGACCTTGCAGAAGCTGCGAAACTACTCGAACCAGATGTGTGGGATGCGTCGAAGTTGGCCTCTACCCACCACAACAATCCCAACAGGACAGCTGGTACAACCGCTTAAGGAAGAAACTCAGAAGCATCCGCACCAGCTACACCTACAACTCCACAGAAACACATGAGACTGCATTCCTCCCTGGGCATCGGTATGGCAACAACACTGGAGCCTCCTGTCGAATGAAAACGTCGGATCATGACCCAAGCGGCTTGGGACGATGACTTCCATTATGATGCAAGGACGCAAGGACACAAGCTCCGTGTGGTCACGGCTACAACCCATGCAAGGGCAGAGGCACAGAACGGTGTCAACAACAACTCCGATACTGG